AACACCTTTGGTATCTCAAAATAGTGCTACACTTGGGAGGTGTTCTATTTATAGAGGTTCATTCTACATTTTAAGTTAATGGTTAGCAGAACTTAGAAGGTTGTTCTACGTATAGAGGTGTTCCACTTACACATTCATTTCACTAAGATGTGTTCTACTTATAGAGGTGTTCCACTTTCACATTCATCTCACTAAGAAGTGTTCTACTTATAGAGGTGTTCCACTTTCACATTCATTTCACTAAGATGTGTTCTACTTATAGAGGTGTTCCACTTACACATTCATTTCACTAAGATGTGTTCTACGAATAGAGGTGTTCCACTTTACAGCGTTTACTGTATAATAACATTACACAAACCACTTAAGGTTCCCTTTCAACCTAGAATTTAGGTGATGAAAGACGTATGGAAGGAAAGAATGAAAATAATAACCTTGATCTTGCATGGATTTTATCCAATTTTTCAGCTTTTATTGATTTTTTAAAGGTTTGGGAACATACTAAGCTCTTAGCAATAATCTTATTGAATAAAAATGATTTCTCCTCAATAATGGCAGCTAAAAGAGTCTTAGGTTCAATAGTCGTTCTAATAATTTAATTTTGCCACTTTAAAAGACCTTGACCTTTAGGGTACAGGGTCCACTTATTGTACTTGAAGCAGTTTGTGTCATGATTGAAAAAATAATTTTTATATGTGCATGGGTGAGCTGCACGTATGAGCCTACAAGAATTTTCTACCTGATTACATGTACATTAAATATCAAACATTCCTTGGCAGTATAATATATGGACATAGCACTCCATATACTGTGTAAGAGAATTACTGTTGAAATATGAGTTACAGGTTACATACTATGGTACATGATGTTTTAATTACTTAACACTGATTTGAAATTACCCAAAACTCTACAATAACTCTGGGAGGTGTGTTGTGCAACATAATTGATAGCAGTTTTGTAGGCTTGTTAAGAGGTTGGATGCTCACTGGACTTTCACAATAATAAGGCGTGGAACATATTATCCCTATTTCATCCAACCATCACTCAAATTCAAAGAGCAACTTTGCTTTGATCCTAATCTAAACAAAAATCATACTTAATGTGTAGATTTGGATGTCAATGGTATGATGTTCACAAAACAATACAGAATTCTATTAAACATTTTCAGAATTCACTTCAGTCTATAAATATCCTGCTTACAATACCCTGCTCCCTGAGAAAAGGAACTCTGGTATTACAACTGTCACAGAAATCTATTTTTTCAAATACAATCAAAGTAAGAGTAATAACCTCCTTATGTTACTAAGGATACCAAATAAATTACTATCATCAACCATTCCCTTACTTCACATTAGCAAGGGGAAGGAGGGGGGGGGGGGGGGTGTGGGTAGCTACTGTGAAACATATACAATTCAATTTATTTCTCAATTCAACAACATAATAAAATAGCGAAAACCAAAAATATACTGATTTTCAAGGCAAAGAGTTAGTCATCAATTTCTAATGATATATTTCAAGGGTACTTGAAGCATTCTTGTCAGATCCATTTATTTAGAAACTTCCAAATGAAATGGCAAATCCTTTTGCCTCCATTCTTCAAAGCTTAGCTACTATTTGAATACGATCGTAAACATTATATTATGTTTTCTGTATACCAACAAGTAAGAATGTCAAGTTGCTCATATTTCTTATTGTATGCTGTTTGAATATAAAAGTAACCATGACCCAGTGGCATTTCTAGATTGAGGACTATGAGGGACTACAGTTGAATATATAAGCACAAATGCCAAAAGGGAAGGGTGACTAAAAACTTTAAGGAAACCCAACAAGAAAAGCAAACTGTAAGTGTAAATCTGTCATAAGAAAAGTAGACCCTATATATCCCAAAACCATGATCTAACGTAAAAAGAAACAATGTGTAACATCCCCCTCCACCTTCCAATCGAGAACCAATATCACAATCACAATATGAGTTTGATTGATAGAGGAATGTGTTGCCTTCTCTAGATACAGAGCTCTATGTGATCTGAATCCATGACCATTCTCTATATAGAGACAAAGCTCTATTTGCACAAAAAGACCCATTTTTGGGGGCCCACCCTAGGGTAGGACCTGGATATCGACATATTTTGACCGAGACTTCACTCCTTGTAAAGCCCTCCAAAAACAACCCAGAATGGTGAGAAATTAGGGATGATGAAGAGAACGGCATACCCATGCATTCATTTGACTTCGCTTCTAAAGAGAGAGCTTCGTCTCTTGACTCTTTGTAAAGAGTAAGAATGACAAGGAGTGCCACTAGAATTGTTCTCCAATGTTATGTGTGTTTCATAAACAATGTTGGGCAATTACACAAATGTCAATGGCAGTGCCTTTAGATGAATAAGACCTTTTACCCCTAAACCAACACTTGCTGACCCTTAAATAAGTATACTCATAAATGAATTGCTTAAAATTGAGAAGTGTCAAAAAGCTAGAACTGTTCAAATGTCAATGATTTTCAATGATTTAAAATAAATATAAAATGTTTGATTTTCCCATATTGTAAAGTTAATTGTGGACATATTATGCAAGAAAGTTTTACTTCATACTAAATGTTTTCAATCTCATTCAACAGTTAGGCTAGTAAGGCTACTGCCCTATAGACATTCATACCTGGGAAAGACAGATATATGTTGAACATGATAAGCAGGTGCTCGATTTACATGACAGTGATGATGTAGCACTTCTTAAAAAGCATGATTAAAAAATGTGTTGAGTTGCATTTCAACTGAATATAAGAGGTACACTGTCAAGGCGAGGCTTGAACATTCATTCTCTCTCCTATGTCAGGGATAACCAAAATGTCTGACTTGAATAAAAAACATTGCAGGGGTACTTTAACAGCTTTTTCCAAAGAAAAGAAAAGCAATCTTGCAGTATAAAGGTTCAGTCAGTATAAAGGTTCAGTCAGTTTGGGCTATAAGCTGATATAGATAGCAGTTATTCATCAATCAGAACTCTTAGTTCTTATATATCACTTATTTGTCATGTGCAGGCTGAGTGTAATTAGACGCATTCAGATCTCATCCTCTCAAAATGTTTGCAATATTGATTGAATTCAATTGTGCCAACCTCTCCCCCAACCCGATATGAAACTCCCACGGTAAGCCACTTCCTGTTAAAGACACTAGCAACAAAACCATCAATGTTTGGCATTCCTAGCGCAAGAGGGTTGAATCAATATAACTCATTGCCATTCTCCATATATGACAATACCCAATAAATGTCTGTCACAATTGTCAGTTTCCAGATGTAAATTAGAGGAGAAAGTGATCTTAAGAAAAAAATAGTCAATGGGCATACCTACCTCATGATTCATATAAAATAGCAAGAACTTTAGAGTTACATTCAGACTTCATTGGAAATGAAGCAGTTTTTAACGAAACCAAATGCATGGAAATGGAACAAAACAAGAATAAGTGGTTATTACAGACATGAATATATTTGAGTTATTATTGATAGCATATTTATGATACAAATCCCTTACAGAGAAGATTCTCTGCATCTACTAAAGAGATATTGGTCCATATATTGGTCCATTAATGCTCTGAGACTCGTGTCCATCTCCTTTCTCCCTAACCTCTTGCAACACAGTACCCTGTGTGCAGAGTCATAAGTTATAAACTACCCTCTGCCTAGCCTAGTATAGACTATATTACAGTTTAGCAGCCCCATCCCAAAGATTGCTGCCTGTGACAGGTCAGGTTATAAATCATTTCAAATCTAGAACGCTGATCCTTTCTCAACCAATCAGCGAAGTGGAAGGAGAATGTGCCAAACACGTACTCATTAACTGTGCGGTGATGTCAGAGGAAATGACTATATAGAAAATCGTTCATATTTCGACGACGAACTCTGATTGGCTCGTTGAGATCAGAGATTTATTGTAAACTGAAAGAGTGAATATGAAGCTCTCTTTTAAGAAGTGAAGTCGAATGAATGCAAAGGGTAGCAACACAGTCAAGATTAGAAAGGGGGCCGGGGGAAAGAGTTAGCCTTGAATCAAATCTAACACATCATCATACTAACAATTCTGCACCCATTAACTTCAAACATTGCCATTAAAGTTTATCAATAAAACATTTGTAGAAATGAAAGTTACAATAAAGCAGAATTTTATGCTTCATAGTCTGAGTATTAATTAATCTCCCTTTCAATAACTGAAACTGTTTAGAATAAATGCTAAAATGTTTGTGAAATGTCAATAAGACTATGTAGCATCTGCCTGGGTCAACTGCTGATGAGAGAGTTGGTCTTCAATACCAGTGTTAACAACCAACTATTTACATATACGTTTTCACACAATAACGTTCATTCCTGATAATATCTATACAATTAATGTTTTATTATGAAAAATCTAAATATATTGATTATGTAAAACCTGATCCAGGGTCTCTAACATCTAGCTGCCATGAATCATAATGTGAGTGCACTGATGAAAACAACATTTATTAATAATCCAATATAATGATGGTCATGGTATATTTCTACTGAAAAGTAGGGCTATTTGTAGGGCTATACTAGCAATAAATCATATGATATAAATGTGAACATACTAAGTTACACCATAAGGACATCAATGATATACAAGAACTTGATTCGGAGAGGGGGGGGGGGTGTTATATAATGCTGCTAGAGGAATCTTCTGCAGGGGCTGACCTTAATTACAGCAGCTGATATCTGATTAATTAATATTTATGGAGATAAAACAAAAGTAATTAACACAGACTTATATCAATACACATACGTACATAAATAATCGTATGTCTCCACACATTTTCATTTAGAAAAACAAAACATCAGTCAATATGACCTGACATGTGCAGAAAGAATTCAGTTCATGTTTTAACATACCTTTCAAAATATGAGTACCTGATTATGAAAACTCTTTAAAATGTAAACATGTACAATTAGATTTCACAATTACTGTATACTATGATAATATACAAATGGTTTCTTACCTGTGTGAGTCCTAAGATGGGCTTTTAAATGAGAACTTTTGGTATATACTTTCTTGCACCCGCTATATGGACACTTATGGATGCGTTTCTTTGAGTCCGGGCTCGTATCCAATCGTCTAGGAGATGTCGCGGAATGGGAATTACTGCGGCCAAAGTTACGCACTTTACCTAGGGCAGCTGCGATAATATTTCCCGGGGATGATTTTTCAGGGGAGGAGGGTGGGGTAAGAGGGCCAGGGGCACTATGAGGTCTTGGGGGCATTATCCTGACATGACCAAATTGGTCGTAATATTTAGTCAATGTTGGTGATGATGGATCGCTCATGTTGCTATCCCATGATACACCACTGCCGCCACTTGATGACGAGCTATGGCTCAATACACTACAGCTATCAGGAGTCTGTGGCACAATGGCTAAATCATTTAAATTTAAATGAGCCATGCCCTTAAGTTTTTCCTCAAAGTCGACGGAATCTTGTTTTTTGTATAGATGTCTCTCCCCGGACTCGTATTTATTCCAGGGATAATCTAAGTCAGTTTGAAGTTTTTTATATGATGTCAGTTGCGGTTCATTCTTCAGATACCGCTCCATTTCCAGGCAATTCTGAAAGTAGATACAGAATTCTATGAATCATATGAAATATAAAGAAATTAATACAATGATATACATGCTGCTGCATAACATTTTACATGCTTGAGATGAAAAATGAGGGGAAAGGATGAGGTGGGGTTCACAATACAAGGACCCGATACAAGACTTCACTTAAAAAAATATAAAAATGGGACTTCGATGCTCTTAAAATGTGATCATTATGCAAATTAACCATGATAAATGGTAACTCTAATTACTGTTTTTATCTAATGTTGACTCGATGTAAAAAGCTACAAGCCTTTTCATACATGTAGTTGGTAGCCTAGATAGAGTAGTTATATGCCTTTGAGACTAAGTCATTCAAAGTTACTAGAGTATACATATGGCCACCAAAAATTATTCTGAAGGGCTAAATGCCATAATTAGTGTTGTGTTTTAGCAAGGAAATAAACAACAAACAAAACATACTCTCTAATTACAACTGATAACTATCCCGGCAAACTTACTATTAAAACCCCTAGAGCAAATAATGAAAGAAGCTTTGCATGTTTTGTTAATGTATTCATCTTACTTAAATATTGTTTCAAATTCTCAGTCAATTTGGCCAGCCAGCCTGTTTGATAGTTTTGGAGTTTTGCCTTAAAACTATTTTCTTATGGTCACCATCCTATAATTCAAGTTTCCAACACGTTGATGGTGAATAGTGTATAGCAGATATAAAACACACTTGATGCTGCACATATCATGCAAAGGTTGAAATAACACCTTTTTGAGGAATGACTCAGTCCACATTGTAATTTGATTACTGTAAAACTACGATCCTCTACCAGCCTGTTTTGTTTTGGGGAGGAACATGCAGGAAAGGCTACCTGACTTAAAATTTCATTCTCATCTTTAGAAATAATACTGTTATAAACAATGTTCCCGAATGATATTAGCAATAGCAATTTCTTAGATATAGTAAACACACTATATAGTTATCACAATATGATAATGTGGCTAGCCATGGTGGCGGTAGTGTGGCAAGATCTATGACGCTGCCTTACAAATTTACCTGTAAAATAACGTGCAGTGTGTTATAATAGTACAATAACGTCATTTCGAAGGGCAATATAGTGAAATATTGGACCGAGGGTCGAAGGCCCAAGGTCCAATATTTCACTTTATTCAGTGCCTGCAGTAGTATCATTACCACCGTTAATGACCAGGACTGAAACAGCGAGAAAATCTTACGTACTGAACGATATCTAATTTCCCGGGGAAAATTGCTGGTCGTTAAATGCATTCTCGATGGGTCGTTAAATGCATTCTTGACCACCACTATGACGTCACATATTGGTCAGGTCGATATAGTAAAATGAATGCCTTCTAAACTAGCACTAAAACCCCTAGAACTGGTCCGGCAAGGTGGTAATAATAGCAATTCAAATTATCCCTCCCCTTAATTATATAGGATATACTCTATTCATTTACATGTATTGAATTATTATTAGCTACATGTTGGGATCACCATTGAGAACCTTAGAACTCTGACGTGTTTCTTTAAGTTCTTTCGTTTTATTTCATCATAACCTAATTCCTACAAAATACAACTTCTATAAATGTGTCGATATATGAACAATCAACTGAATGTTTCAAAAATATGAAGGCGTTTCTTTAAGATTTGATTTCTGGTGGAAAATTCCACTGATTTTTATAGCGTTCAAAATATGATTTATTGTATTTATGAGAGAGGGGACATTTTTAAATACCATTCAATAACATCCGGACATAAGCTTCTAAAGGCATTGATACCACAAGTCAACAGCCTCCAACCAGCTTTGTCTACACAATAAACAAGATACTGTAATAGCACCCCCCCCCCAAAAAAAACACTCAAAAGTATAATGGCCAAGGAAGGTTTAGGTGTTTATATTGTAAAAATCACCCAATTCCCATAAGAAATGAATACATAGATTATTCCCTATAGTAAATAATCATACATGAATCAGAGATGTATGTAAACCAGTTTTTATTTTGAAGGCATTTAATAATTAACGCACACCTTCTTTAAAAAAACTTGAAAAATTGTTGATGTATTTAGGTGTTGAAATATTTTGTTTTGTGATTTGAAAGTTGCACTTCAAATTTTAATAATTGAAGTTTCTGGTATTTGAACAAGTTGTCATACATTCCAGAGGTTCATTTATTTTATGTAGATCAACTAAAACTGCATTAGTTTTCTCGAGAGCATTACATAAATAATTGTTCAAGAGATTCTGTTATAAGGGTTGCCAAATATTTGTTTAAAGGGGACCACCACCATGGTCACATGATCAGTCGTGTGGAGGTAAGCTCCCAGTTGAAATAAAAGCACTCTCCTCCTTTGGTTTATGTGAAAAGTAGCTAATACCCTCATGTATTTGGTCAGTTTGTGTGTCACACGACTTATCCACACCATATGCTTCATTCAACATATTTTATGCTATTAAGCTGCATATAAAAACACTACTTTGCAGTAAAAAACGAACTACTGGATGAACTAAGGTTAGGGTAATTAAATTAGTTGTTTCTCATTCTTGCCCGCGTGTGGCACAATCCCCCCTCCACCTTTTTTCTGCCATTTCTGAGAAAAAAACACCGTACCTCGCACGCATCCATGGCGTGTGAAACACTTTTTTTTTACTTTTTATGGATCAGGATAATTGACAATATCGTGGTACTGATATATGATCAAATATACCAGTAAAGTAGACTAAATTTAACATATAAATTCAACATAAACCCAGTTTATTTCCTTCAAAATTAGTTATTTGTTTTTACAGTTATTTTAAAGAAAAAAATCATCCCGTCCCTCATCAGCATTTTAGATAGACAAAAAAAGGTAATATAAAAACCGTCATTCCCGTATCAATTTTGAAAAATAGAAGAAAGAGAAACAACTAATTACCCTGGCCTAACATAAAATACAAAGCCACTAGCCAGCTCATACAGTATACTTACCCCTTGCAAATTGTAATTTATTGAATTCACAGTAAACCCATCAATTTAAAAAAAACAAAGAATATTGTTCTCATGGATCTATTATTCATGTTAAACTAACTATGAAAATATAAATATGAAATAATATGTTAGCTTGAAGTCATATATAAGATGAAAATATATGTCCATACATTTGCATTTTTCCAAAGGGAACAATTATTCCCATGTAAGTAAATACAGGTGCAATATATAATTTATATGTATATCTATGTCATCTGTCTATACATGCGCGTATAGTGATACATTTGAACAAAATGATGGTTCTGGAAAGAAATGAGCGTGGCAGATTTGCTAAAAAGCCACATACACCACAAAAGCAAGACCAATTTGAAAGTAAGTTCATTATTCTCAAGGGTACACTTCAAGTGAAAGCTACATTGCTACAGGGTGGCCTATCATTCTGAGACAAATGTATTATCAAACGATTGTGATTTTCGAAGCTAAAATATAATATCTTGAGCAGATGGAAATACATTTCCATGAGATATGTATATATCGTCAAAAGTGATATTCATTGAGTGTAATGAAATGTATCCTTCGCCAACTGCTTTTGTTTGAGATAATTATCATGAAATATTTTTAAATTAATTTTTATGTGTGTCATTGATCCTAATCCACCCTGTAGTCTGGTGTTTGTAGAGCATTGCACCTCGTACAACTTGTTCTCACAAATATCAAACCTCATTTACTAATTAATTTTTTGTGTGAATATGAAGAGTCCAAGCATTGCTTTTTTATGTTTACTGTATAGCTATATTTAGCCTCGATAACCATGATTTTTTAAAACAAAATCTCACCGTTAGATTTCGAGCTATTCATGTTTACTTATTTTTCTAATTGGAAAACAATGCAAATCTCATTTTTTCAAAGGAAAAAAATTGAAATTCTAAGACGGTGAAAAATCATTAAAAAATACACAGATTCAGAATCCGGCAAGCATTTTCCCTTATTCCTCTCCGTTAAGAAGTTTTGTAAGGTGTTGGATCCCTTTAATGGTAACTTAAAATAAAACTTTAATCTATGAACAATGAGTACTTTAAACATAGTCAACTTACTGACTAAACATTTCGAAGTCAATACGAGTTAACTTCCTGGATCAACTCTTCCTTTACTATCAAATTCAAGATTTGAGATTTTAGGCAAAGAAAACATTCATACATAATGTAATCATTAATCTGGAGACAGATCAGATGTCAGCCAATACGTTTTGGATTAGATTTGACATTACTGATCAGATTCTGTCCTGCCTTTAATTTTGACATTGATCAGATAAAAGATACTTCTAAGCCATCCTACTGTCAATGACCGACCTTTGAACGACCTGTTGGATTTGGCTTAAAATATATTACAGTTGCATATTTTGGACTATAGTTATGATACAGGTAAAAATGACAAATATAGATTACAACCTAGGTATTAACATTCACAATGTCCCAACCTGCAATTTATTACAGATGCTGAATGTTGAACTCCAAACACAAACCATCGCCACAAAAAAGTTTGAGACTAATAAACAATATGTCACCAACAGAAATGACAAACATAGATTACAACCTACTTTATTTTGGATAAGTTCCTGAAAAGCTTCAACAAATGATATTTCATTCATTACTTGCATAAGTTCAAAATATTTAAGATGAATATCTAACCCAGTTTAGTTTAAGTTATCTAATGCTTATATAACGATTGAATCAGTTATTGCATAAATGGATGTGAGTGAAATTGGAAAATACCATATCTCAATGATCAGCTAAGACTGACAAAATGAAATCAAAACAACTTAGCAAAGTGATCATTCCAAACATGCATGCTTTATATCTTAAAGTACATGATAGTACAAGTACGTATTATATAAGATTGCAACAGTACACGATAAACCAGATTTTTACCATTGCTAAAACCATACCCCCTCCACTCTCCCCGGTTTTAATATGACCTTGACCTTCTTGAGGGTCAAATCACAAAATTCTCATGCTACAAAATATAAGAAC